AAGAAGCACAAGGATAGAACTTTACCTTTATAACTACAATTAAGGAAGTAGAAAATAAATAATAGTTGGTTAATTTCATTTCAGTAACTTCAAAAAAGTACAGAACCGTATATGCTTAGGTAAGTTAGGGCCCTCACCATACGAAACCATCTAACCCCTTACTCTCTCTTATTTCCAAATTTAAACAAAGGTTCTTCTACAATAACAGAAAGATACAGTAGTGTTTAAGTTGTTGTAAATACATATCCACATAAGCATTTAACACTTTAAGACACATGTCAAACTCAAGACCCACGGGCCAAGTGCGACCCGCCAAGTCATTTTGTATAGCCCAGAGAAGTTTAAAAAGCCATGCTGAGTTTAATAACCTGAAAAATATTATTTTTATCACACTGAGCAAATGTATATTTGTAAATTGAATAAATATTAATCAATTGCAAAAACATGTATTGATACAATGTAGTTCCATCTATACAGCCACAACCAGCCTTTCAGGGGGAACTGTATTGCTGATGTGGTCCACCAATGAAAATGGGTTTGACAGCCAATACCTGCAGTAATGGATTGTTAGCGATGTGCAGCCTAAGTGTCCAATCAACCTAATCTGCATGTTTATGTACCGTTAAGGGAACCTGGAATACACAGAGAACGTCATACTAAAGGACCATCAACCATCGGGAACTCCAACCAGTCACCACTCACCACCATGATTTGTGTTTCACAAAAAAATTCATAATCTACTACTATCAACAACCAAGTTATTTGGTTGTTATTTGTACTGACAGTGAACAGATGGAATTATTAACGTACAAACAGACAAAACATGTAAGAAAAAAAAAGGGAGCTGCAGTCAGTGGAAAAGATTTCTCAACAGCAGAGAAGAGGACAGTTTTATTAGGTTTCTTAAAAAAAACACAACTGATGAATTTTAAATAAGCCTGTAGAGGGCAGATTCCATACATTTAATTAATACATTCATTTTATTATTAGATTTTTTGTTTGAAACTGGTATTAAACTGTTGAGTTTACGTCATGTAGTAAATATACTTTACTCCCTAAACTATTAGGGATACGGGAGGACCAAACACAGACAAAGGTCAGTGTGGCGATCAACACGTTAACGTGGTCTTATCCAATGTCTACTTGCACGACAGTAAAGATGCACAAATTTGACTTCAATATGACCTAATGTCATAGGGTTATTCCAACAATACTTCATCAACAACCATTAATAACTAGCACAATCAACTTCAATGCCAGCTTTGAAAAGCAAATGAAAAAGATCAAAAGCAAATTTAAAAAATGTGAGTTTTTTTCCTGCATGTTTTCTTTTCTCTGCATGTTTTCCCTGGACAAATAATCACTTTAAGTTCAAGTGTCATCATTCTTTAACTCACTATTTTGCAAATTAACAACTAAAGTCTTTTTTTAATTCAAATGTACCTAGAATACATTTTACAGACTTCGAAAGTCACACATCTAATTAATGAAGCATTCCTCACTTCTAACAACAAAGCTGTTATGAAATTGGCCTGTGATAAATATAATGTTCTATGAGTAGCAGCCTCATAAATAGAGTGTATCCAT